CTGCATCGTTACTCAGAACTAGAAACGCTGGCCATTTGAATGAGTAGAAGTAGACGTCTAGAAGTGAGCAGTGTATATTACAGTGGAAATTAAGATGCCAAATTCTTGGAAAGGATATTTTTAGTTATTTTTCTCTTTTGTAAATTTTGTTTATACTTTCTCTTTGTTAGAATCCTCAATGATTTGATTTACAGTAACTAAGGCATATGGATTTAGAGGCAGAATACTATAACAAATGAAGAATGCTTTCTGTAAAACACCTCACATGGCGAATTGGTGGTTGAATAGTAAGCTAGTATGGTCTGCACAGCCCGCTTATGGCTTTGCTATTCATGAGTTTACATACCATCTCAAACTCACTCCCACAAATCTTTGTATATTATCCTTCTCTCTCTCTCCTCCCTTCCCTTTTTCTTTCCTTTTCGCTGTCTTACCCTCTCTAATACTACATATAATACAAACATGTTCATAATTCCCAGGTGGTTGTGATCAGTGGTTATAAGAGACAGTGGCATTGTTTGCTTAGAGGTACTGGATATAGTCATGGGTATATAATACAAATATTCCAGCTGCTGATCATGTCTTCCTGTTACTGAATAGTTGGCAGATATGGATATGGCAGAAGTTTTGCATTCAGTCTCTTCCCCTTTCTGAGAGTAGTGACGTTCGGTGTACAGTCTATAACACGTTCTTTTCTTGCCTCGTTATTTACCTCGTTCAGTGTTTACCCAAATTTCTTTTCAGGCTCTGCCTCTCCATCATTCTCTTTTCCTTCTGCCATCCCATCAGAGGACAATAGATGATATGATTCTAGAACTGCATGTTAAATTGAACAGAAAGTTCTTTATCCTTTTTTTCCCCTTTTTTGTTTTTGGATCGGCAGGTTAATGAATGCATGACTTAAGGCTTGCTGATGCCCTCTGTCACTACTGACCTGTGTGATTGCCAACTCTGGAGAGCCATTTGTTAATGTAATTGGGGAGCATTGTGAAGTACAGCATCATACAAGCTTCTTCCTTGAAATTCTTACTGGTCTAACACCAATTGTCACTGTTTATGCTCTTGTCATGTGTTGCCTGATTTTTGCCTAGGTAGTTGCTGCAGGCAACTTAACAAATTCAGTCCAAGACTTTGAGCAAATTAGGTGTTCAAAAAAGGATTCTCACTTCAAGTAAATAGGTATCCTTTATTTTACCAAGAAAAAGGAAGTGGCTTCCTAGAGTTGAATGGCAACCGCTCTGCATGTGTTATTGTAATTGGAAGCTACATGACCTTGTGTCTGTCCTCTTTTTCTCTCTTGAATGGCTAACAAAGGTACTGTTTAGTGGTAGTCACTCCTGGACTATGCCTTTGGAGTATTTGAAAATCAAAATAACGTTATAAGAATGGCAGATATATCCTGCTGGCCTTGTTGTTTACAGTACCAAGGAATAAAAAAAAAAAAAAAAAAATCAAAGGAATGAGAAAGCAAATTTCTTTTCTTGGTACTGTTCCTGCTTTCAGTCTGTCATCTGCTTTCTGCCATACTGTCTTTTCTTGGTACAGTAATGATTTACTTTTTCCTTTGTTCAGGGCCAGAAGGTGTGAAACACTTTGATTTGGGAGAAACAGATGAGAAAAAATCCCAAATCAGCGCAGACAGTGGCCTCAGTTTGGCCTCAGGTTCTCAGGTCAGTGGCCCCTATGCTTGCTTTATTTATGTGGTAAAAGAGAGGATTCACTGCTTAATTGTGGGAAGAATTCTAGGGTTTGAGCATTCTTGAAAGGCTCATTCAGTAAAATTTCTTCCCTCCTTCCTGCAGGGGACTGATCTTTGGAAACTCCTTAATTGTATGACCCTGTGATCTTTTTGATACACAGGCAGTAGTTTCTATTTGGCTGGCTAAATAAACCAAGGAAACATATGGTGTGCGATTCAAGACCCCAAAGGAATGGGAAAGGATGTTCTCTCCTTTATGATCAAAACTAATGTGACTTTTCTCCCTGTCCTTTATACGTTTTGATTGCAGAAGAGTGATTTCGACTCTATTCCCAGCGGAGGACCAGCAGTTATGGTCCGAAGTACAAGCCAGGATTCTGAAGTTAGCACAGTGGTAGGATATGCTCAAAGTGAAGTCTGGATGTCATTCACTTCTTGCTAAAGTGGGGGAGGGCATTTCGTGCCTACATTTTGTGTGGTATGGCTGCATGCTGTCACGCATGCATAATGTATGTCTGTGAGTTCTCTCTCCAGAGCCTCTGAGTGGGTGGCAAACGTGTGTCTGACAGAACATACATAGTGCTTTATTAGCAGATTGCATCTTTCATATATGGTGCTCGTTGCTCTAATGTATTTCTACATATTCTTGTATTTACGGAACTGCTGGATTGCAATACTCTTATAAATATGCCTTAATTGCCACTTATAAGGAATAGAAGTTTAAAAATGTAACCTGAGAGCACAAAAAGCAGATCGTTTGATGCATTAAAAACAAGAACAAACTTTCTAATGTATTACCTTAAAGCACTTGAATCATATCAAAATATATCTACTTGCTTTCCGATCAACTATGGGGCCTGGGGGGAAAAGGTAGCAGGAAGGCATTCAGTTAAAAAGGATGAGCCTTCTCCCTACCACATTTTATCTGTTATGGCATATTCCAGGGACAATACCCAAGGAACTTTTCTTTTTGTTGTTGTTATTGGTTTTTTTTCTCTCTAAACTGCTGCATACCTGCGAATACCTGGCTTTTTCCAGCCTGTAACAAGAATACTCTGATTGTCTTTCTCTAATGGACCCAGAAATTATATTCTATGGGATACTGCCCCATATAGAAGAGGGGTCTAGAAGAGCTGGTTGGTATTCAAGTATGCCCTCCTCTGAGCTCAAGAAAGGTCCACCCCAACAAGTAGGAAACCAAGCAAGGGCAACAGGAGGCCTGCGTGGATGAGCAAAGAGCTCTTAACTGTACACAGACATAAAAAGGAAGTATACAAGAGGTGGAAGCAGGGACGGGTGACCCAGGAGGAGTATACGTTTGCTGTCTCATCTTGCAGGCGTAGTGTTAGAAAAGCCAATATGGACCCGGAGTTGAATCTGGCAAGGAATGTAAATGGAAACAGGAAAAGATTCTAGAAGTACATAAGCAGCAAGAGAAAGGACTAGGGAAAACGTGGGCCTGCTGCTAAATGGGGCAGGGGAACTGGTGACAGATGGAAAAGACTGAGGTACTTGGGGCGTTCTTTGCTCCAGTCTTTACCAGTAGAACTGGCCTTCAGGAATCCCAGGCCCCTGAGACCAGAGAAAAGTGTGGAACAAGAAAGACTTACCCTTGGTGGAGGATGGCTAGGCTAGGGAGCGCTTCAGCAAACTGGATATACGCTAATCCATGGTTCCTGAGGGATTGCAACCACCAGCTCTGAGGGAGCTGGCTGATGTCATTGTGAGGCTGCTCTTGATTGTCTCTGAACAGTCCTAGTGATTAGGAGATGTTCCTGAAGACTGGAAGACAGCAAATACCACTCTTGTCTTCAAGAAGGGCAAGAAGGAAGATCTGGGGAGCTACAGGCTGGCCAGCGTCACCTCAGTCCTTGGGAAAGGTGATGGAGAAAATCTTCCAGAAAACGTTTCCAACCACATGAAGGACAAGAGGGTGAATGGGACTAGTCATCATGGATTTACAAAGGGGTAGCCATGCTTAACCTACCTGATAGCATTCTACAATGAGATGACTAGCTTGGTGGATGAGAGGAGAGCAGCAGATGTTGTTTACTTCTACTTCTGTAAAGCTTTTGACACTGTCTCCTGTAACATAGACAAGCTGACAGAGCATGGGTTAGGTAAGTGGACAGTGGGGTAGACTGAAAACTGGCTGAATGACTGGGCTCAGAGGGTTGTGATCAGTGGCACAAAGTCCAGCTGGAGGCAGGTCACTAGTGGTGTAGTCCTGGGGTCAGTACTGGGGCCAGTACTGTTCAGCATCTTTAGTGATGACCTGGATGACAGTACAGAGCAAGTTCACACATGATACAAAACTGGGAGGAATGACCAATTCACCAGATGGCTGTGCCACCATTCAGAGGGGCCTCAACAGGCTGGAGAACTGGGCAGAGAGGAATCTATGAAGTTCAACAAGGGGAAAATGCCAAGTCCTGCATCTAGAGAGGAATAACCCCAGGCACCAGTACACACTGGGGTCTGACGGGCTGGAAAGCAGCTTTGGTGGGAAGAACCTTAGGATCCCAACAAGCTGACTGTGAGGCAGCAATGCACCCTTGTGGCAGAAAATGCCAATGGTATTCTGGGCTGTATTAAGACGAGCATTGTCAGCAGGTCAAGGGAGGTAATCCTTCCACTGTACTCAGCCCTGGTGAGGCTGCACCTGGAGTATTATGTCCAGTTTTGGGCTCCCCAGTACAAGAAAGATAAGGACTTACTGGAGTGAGTCCAGCTCAGGGCCACAAAGACGATTAAGGGATTGGAGCATCTTTCGTGAGAGGAGAGATGGAGCAGGCTGGGACTCTTCAGCCTGGAGAAGACAAAGCTCAGGGGGATCTTATCAATGGGTATAAAAACCTGATGGGAGGGAATGAAGGTAAGGGAGCCAGACTCTTCTCAGTAGTATCCACTGGCAGGACAAGAGGCAGTCAACACAAAAATCAAAGCACAGGAAATTCCATGTGAACACAAGAAAACAATTCTTTAATTTGACTGTGATCAAACACTGGAGCAGTTTGCCCAGAGAGGTTGTGGATTCTCCATTTGTGGAAATTTTTAAAGCCTGACTGGACGTGGTCCTCAGCAACTTACTCCATCTGACCCGGCTTGAGCAGGGGGGCTCATCTATGGATGATCTTAACAGATCCCTTCCAACCTAAATAGTTCTGTGATTTTTCTGAAGGGGTTTTCGAGCCTCTCTTCATCTTTTTCTGCAGAGTAGGATTTGATGAAAAGATAATGTTACTGAAGGAGAAAAGGCAAATGTGGCCTTCAGTTGTACGACTTCTTATTCTGTGCCTTAAAAAGAAACATTCTACAACTTTTCTCTCCACAGTGTCTTTGTCTTTTGAAAGTAACTGCTTTCTTTTTCTCCACAGGTTAGTAACAGTTCTGGAGAGACATTAGGAGCAGACAGTGACTTGAGTAGCAATGCTGGTGATGGCCCGAGCGTGGAAAATGGTGGCAATTTGACAGGATCCAGAGGAACTGTGTCAGACAGTGAAATTGAGACAAACTCTGCTACTAGTGCTATCTTTGTAAGGGCATTGCAGACTTTCCTTTTTTCTTTTTCTTTTTTTTTTTAATTAAATCTTTTACAGTAATCATTTCAATGTGTTTATGTGTGGAAGAGGATCTCCGATTTTGTTAATCAGCAATGACTTGCAGTATTAAAATATTAAAGATGTGATTTTTGTACAGATCCACGTACCTTTCCTCATTTCCTGTGCAATACACAGTTCCCCTCATTCAATATTTCTCTCAACCAAATGGACATTTAATTGCCCTTCAGAGGCAAAACATTGGTGGGCATTGTTCGACCTTATCTAAATAAGAGGAACAGATTCCCCTGTTTCTTAGGAGTAGCTGTCAGCCAAATATGAAAAGAACTCTCAGTGCCTTAGGATTAGTCTCACCGTGGTCATTATTTTATAATCTGATAAGATTATAAAAGTCTTTACAGGGCTTCTAATTTTAAGCAGCAAACAAAATCACTGTGCTTCATTGCGTTTCTTCTAAAAGCATGAAAATGATGTAACCATGTCTGCTTATTTAGCTGCAAGAGGGTGTCTTCTCAGTTACTAAAGAGTTAAACTTCTTTTTTGAACAGTTTTCTGCATTGTTTCTGCTTGATTAATGAAACTAAATGGAATTTTAAGAACCCTTGCAAAAGATTTAGAATGAAGATGATAGGTGTACGTGATGTGTGATGAACATCACATATCGCACCATAGTTTACCTGGTGGTAGAGAAATAAGAGGGGCCAGCTTTGTCACAGTTCCTGCTGGCTGATAGTCCCAGCACACAGTTCTTCAGACCAGATGATACGTAATCATTTGCTTAACGTCCTACCTTTATGAATGGTAAATGAAAGAAAACTGTATAAAGTCTGAATGTGAGATAGAGCTCGGGTAATCTTATTCTGCTTGTGAATATTGATTTTCTGTGCAGTCCTGCAAAGGCTGTGTATTTCTTTCTCCATTCCCTGCAACCTGTACAATGACAGTGATACTCAGCTGTTTCCTAAACAGGGAAAGATTTACTATCGGAATTTGGGCAAACTTACTGCACAAGCATAAAATATGGGGGGTGACAGAAGAGGTTTAACTGTTTTTTCCTTTAGTCTGGGATTTGCATTTTTGTTTTTCCTTCGGGGAAGCATTTTGCATCTTCTGTGTTTCAATTTCTCTATCTGTCTCTCTTTTTCCCTTGTCTGACTCTGGACTTTTAAGTGTATTACCTTGCTCTTCAAACAGAGTAATTTATTTGTTTTGTGAACATTTGTGGGAGAAGTGTCTATGAAGTATAGCTTGCAAACTGCATCTGTTAAGTGGACTGCAAGAAACAGCCCTGCAGGGAACAGAGTTAAATTCTCTGACACCTCTTGTATTATTTTCAGGCGAAGTCTCACAACCTGAAGCAGAGTGTGAAGGACAGTAAAGGCAGTACTCCAGGGAGAGCTCCAGAGGATGGGAACCAACGTGTCTATCTCTATGAAGGACTTTTGGGTAAACTAATTTTTTTGTGGGGCGGGGATCTTTTAGGCTGAAGTTCAGGTGGAGTCATGTCTGGGGCAAGACTGGTATCTTTACATTCCCAGGGACTGTTTTTAACCATTTACTGTTGTCCATACTGGTAGAATGGGGGGTGTGTCAGACCATTCAGAATAAAGCCAAAGATTTGCTGGGGAGATTGAATAAGAGTATGAGGAGATGGATGTGAGTGGTGTAGTTTGCATAAAATGTAGTTTGTCCAAGTCTCTTGCTGTTCTTGAATATGAATTCTTCAAACTGTTGGAAGAAGAGGAGAAGGAACTTACTTAGCTATGTATGGAAGGCTAAAATGTATTGCTGATCTTGAAAAAAGATCCTTCAGCTGAAGTAATTGAACAGAGGGCTACTAAACTCAGAATACTAATGGCCTTCAAGTGTATCCTTGAATTAGGAGTGTATTTGGGTTTTTGATGTGTATTTCATCTGGACTTGCTGTTAATCAAGAGCTCTCTTTTCCTGTGTTTTTCATCCTTTGCATTTATCGTTCCTACCTGCTTGGAATGGTGCAGGTAGGGATAAAGGATCTGTCTGGGACCAGTTAGAGGATGCTGCAATGGAAACCTTCTCTATGAGTAATAATCTTATCTTTCCTCTCTGTGTGTTTGCCATGATCTGTGTGTGTGAGAGAGATTTCTGTCTCTTTTGGGCAGTGTTAACAGTATATGGAAGAAGATTTACTCTTCACTTAAAGAGTAGACATGAGAGGTACTTTTGTGTAAGTGTTTGAAAAGATTTTGCCATGAATTAGAATGAGAGATACAGCTTGTCTTTTCTTTTACACTTTTCTTCAGTTGTGATATTGCTTGTTGTTTAAAAGTAACCTTTTTTTTTTTTTAATATGGTTTAATTGTGTGTTGGCTTATGGTATTTTCAAGGAGTGGGAATTAACAGGAATTAATCTTGAAGTGTTTGACTGGAGTAAATGGAATAAATGCTCAATTTTTGTATACACTGAATAGGCAAAGAGCGTTCAACTTTGTGGGACCAGATGCAGTTCTGGGAAGATGCTTTTTTGGATGCTGTGATGTTAGAGAGAGAAGGAATGGGGATGGACCAGGGACCTCAGGAGATGATTGACAGGTAAAGTTCTTTAGTAGACCACTTTCCTCCTCATTGTTTCACCTGGGGCTGAAATAGTAAAAAAAAATTATTTTCATTCTGCTATTGTCACCTTGTAAACTTTGTTACTATACCTGACTGTTCCAAAGTGAGCCTCTTGTCTCTATGCTGGCCAGTATCTCCTGATACTGAAATACTATCTTCAGTTGTGATGTACTTTTTTTAAACTCTAGTGGAGAGGGGATATTTCCAGAGAAATGGGTAATGTAAACATAATCACAGTATGAATAGATGGAATAGACTAGATCAGTAATAAAGCAAGGGATTTCTGTGGCAAAATCACTATATTCTGGAATAAAGGAAAATATCAGTGCGTTGACATAAAGTGAAAGAATTAAATGTCTTCAGAAACTGCATTTTGAGTCTTCTCAAAATGCAAAGCCAGTTATAGGTGTTTCTACTTTACAGTTTGTAGTTAAACAAACAAAAAAGCCACGAGGGAACAACTCTCTGGAAGTATCTGCCTGTTTGCTTAAAGCTAGACTACTTCTAAGATGTCAATCTTCTCTACCTCCTTGCTTTTTTTTTTTTCCCCCCTTAGTTCTGTTAATATCTGATCATTCTCTGCTCTGTCTGCCACCTGCAGCTGTACTACCTACACCCATGCTATCATGTAACATGGGATCTGATAGCCAAAATAAGAACTGGTTTGTGGGGTGCTAGTTTGAAAACTGTTTCTTTTTCCACAAACTACCTACCTTACTGGAAAAAGAGAGTGCCTCTGCACTTCCTTCATCACTTTACTTCTGCCTTGCAGCTACATTTAAGCTCTAAAGGCGGGTGAGTTATATGTTCCTCTTCTGGCAGTTGTAATTGTTATGGATCTGCACCTGCAGAAAAGAGGAAATGGATAAGCCCAGTGGACCACTGAGAACTTTCCCACTGAGCAGATGTTATTTACTTCAACTAGTTAATAATTGATGGAAATGTTTAATTAGTGATCACAGTGTTTTACTGGAAAATGCCCATTTGGCTTAGTGGTTTTGGAGGTTTTATTTGCCATACACTTTACAAAGAGTGATCTGTCTTCTGCCAGTGCTTCAGTGATTTGGATGAAGAATGTCCGTGAGTCTGCTTCAGATCTAGCTCTTCTTGCAGGTATCTTTCCCTGGGAGAGCATGACCGAAAGCGTTTGGAGGATGATGAGGACCGTTTGTTGGCTACACTGCTGCATAATATGATTGCCTATATGCTTATGATAAAGGTGACATTTTTTCTTTTTCGTTTGAATAGATCACTGCTCAGATTTAAGCAGTGTATTTTGTTGGTGTTGTCTTGAAACCATACGTCCCTGTTCACTGAGCTCAGAACAGTGAAGTATAAAAGAATGTTATAGAATACTTTCTACTCTTAATGAAAAAATTGCTACAGTACCTGGAGATTCTTTGAGATATGTTGTCTGAGTTTATGCAGTTCTATGCCATGTGTATGCATATATATTGCCATTCAAAAAGAGAGATGTATTATTTCTATTAGTAACTTTAGAGGACAGTCTTATTTTAAGAGTATGGGTTCTAAATTAAGTAGAGAGCATCTTCTAATCTGATTTCCTCACAGCTGCAAATTCCAAACGTGGGCAGATTGTAAATATGCGTATCAGTAGCTCAACAAGAAATTTGCCGCTGGTAGTAAGCAACCCTTTTTTTCTTGTTCAGTGGGCTGTCTATATGCACTTTAATGCTGTAGGTGGCTACTAGCAATATCTTTTTTTTTAGTCTGAATAATTTCTGAGATAGTCCAAATCCTCCCTCAAAGTCACTGGAAAATCAGTCTTCTAAAATTTTTGTTGTATTTAGAATCAGCTTAGGTGCATTTTTTTACCTGTAACAGATTGGATGCACTGTGCTGTCCAGTGCAACAGCTTGACAGTAAGAACAGCTGTACACAGGTGACAGTTTGATAACTTTCACTGTTCAAATGAGGAGGTGAGACATCATTCCATAGACAAAGAACGTCTGATACCATGGTGAGAGAGAAAGAAGGTATTGTTTTTTCCTGACATAAATGGAATGTGAAGCTAAGTTTTAAGATAGGATTTGAATATATTTGGAATGAGTTTATTTCAGAAGATTACTGTGGGATTTGGCCATTAGGGCATGCATTGCTGCAATACTTAAAGTAATAATAACCTGTGCTCTTATGGATATTATACCTTTGAAAATTATATCACCCTGGGCCTATGGGTTATAGATGAAAAGGGAATACAGGGGATCTGAGAGTTGTGATAAAAATACTGTTTCTTCTGGTGCATCTTCAGAGGTGTTCAAGAATGAGGATGGGATAAAGAACTGGGCAAAAGAAGAGTTGTGTGGTGTTGTTTGTTTTATTTGTTATTGTTGTGGTTACTTTTTTTTCCCCTGATTATCAGTTTTGGGATAAAAAGTGGTGGATCTAGAATTTGATATATATTATTTGTATATAGGGTTTTTTTCAAACAGAGTGAAGGCTTTAAGAGACTAAAGACTGGATCAAGGTATCTTATCTTAGGGCAGCTTCTAGTAGAGACTGCAAAGTTAGAAGGCCTTCTCTTACTAAAGAGGGGAATTCTTCTGAGCTGTCAAGGGAAGCATAATCCTCCAAACCCAACACCTTGGTATTTTAGTTTATTTTCTTTTTTGGGGATAGCAGAGCCTGGAAGTTTTTACCTAAAAAATTCTTGAAAAATACAATGCTTTCTTTCAAGTGCAAAGAATTCTTGCCAAAGGAAGGAAGCAGGTTGGGTTTGTTTTGTACACTCCATAGCACTAAGGTCATAATGAAAATATGATTAAAAAGAATGTCTGATCTAGCTTGAAGTCAGCGCTCAAGCATGAATCTACTGTCTTTAGTATCAATGTCTGGCATTCGTAATAGCCTTTTGAAATGGCACCTGGGGCAGAAACGTTCTGCTTCAGTGCTTCCCCGTATGTAGTTCGTCTTCAGGAGGAACCTGCTGCTGTTTGAGCACTATCTGGAAATGTTTGTTAGAGCCCTGGCCTAGTGACCAGGAAACAAATCATGAAAGAGTGAGAATTTGGAAAGATATCAGGCCTTTGTGTCAATATTTCTTGTGTTACGGGCTCCACAGTTGACTAAACCAACTCTTTGCAGAGGAAGAGGTGGAAAAGCTAGCCCAGCAGATGAGACCCACCACATAAGGGGCAACATGGAGAACTGAGGCTTTTGATGTCAGTAGTTGGAAGTGGAGGGTAGTGGAATTGCAGCTCTGTTGTGCAAGAGCAGGCAGGAAATCTGTTGTGCACAATATCACTTGCCCAGTAGCTGGGAAAAGTGGTGTATGTGCAATTACTGGTTGTACTGCTGGGCTAAAAAGGCCCTAGCATGACTGAGCTGGAGATCAGTTGTTTTGCTGTCTTAGCAACGGAAATCAAGATACGTTGATTTGGGGAGATTGGAGTGGCTGCCTGTGAATAGAGAAGACTGTGTTACCGTCTTTATATCTGCCTTCTAGGTGAACAAGAATGATATTAGGAAAAAGGTGCGTCGTCTAATGGGAAAATCGCATATTGGACTGGTGCACAGCCAGCAAATAAACGATATTCTCGACAAACTTGCCAATCTGGTAAGTAAAACAGTGGTGAGTGATGTACCCGTGGGAGCTACAGTGGAGGAAAAACATTATCTGAAAATTCTTCTATAAATTCTCTGCAACACTAATTTAAAAATATTAAAAATAAGTAAATTGAATGATTAAACACTGCCTTCACATGTATAGAATAAAGACTGTGGTTGTATGACCCTGTTTATAATATTATAATGTTATGTAGTTATCAGTTAGAACTGCAATACAGATATGTATAAACATGACACTTCAGTACCACAGTTCTATGCAATCCTAGTGTATTCTTAATATCACTTTTGTGGGTGGGAATCTTTATTCTTACTGTGGCTGGAATAAGTGTTTAGTTTTCCATCGGTTTCTAGGTCATTATAAGACTTGTAGCAATCGGTTTCTGTACAAAGTTGTTTCCACTATCAGATGCCATGCAGAAACCTTGTCCTGTAATGCTCATTAAGAAAATAGGCTAAGAAGTTAATAAAACTAGCCAAGCTTTTAACACAACCGTCTCCAGGGTGGATGCAAGTTAGGCCCTTTGAAAGCTAATTTTTCAAAGCATTTTTACATTTGGAACTTAGTTTTATGCACAGAAAGGAGACAAAATTATCTTACAATTAATTGGGAAAAAGCAGAGCAGTTTACTGCAATGTTACTGGAACCCAGACACCTCACTATCCCATGCTGAGTATGACCTCACTATTCCATACTGAGTATGGTACCAGCATGAATGTTGTTGTATGCTGTGATAACTCTCATAGTCACACTTGTTGAAACTAAACTTTAGAGCATCTTGCTTAAGACTTTGTCCAAAATTGCCTCCAATCAGGTGGATACGTCTTTTTTTTTTTTTCTCTTTCATGTGTTGAAATGCTTCTAGTGTTACCCGAGGGACTTTTTTTCAATAGATCAGGAGAAATTGGTTTCAAAATTCCTGCATGATTGCTTTTTTTATTTTCTCTAGAATGGACGGGAACTAGCAGCAGCAGCCACATCAAGAAGCAGACTTTTGTAGTACATGCTGGGACAGACACAACAGGAGACATATTTTTCATGGAGGTAGAGGCAAAAGTAATATTAATGCAACTAGTATCATTCAATAAGCAATATTAGAAATCTTATGTAATATTTTATGTTCCCAGGTATGTGATGATTGCATTGTGCTGAGAAGCAACATTGGAACTGTGTATGAACGTTGGTGGTATGAGAAACTCATCAACATGACTTACTGTCCCAAAACAAAAGTGCTGTGCCTCTGGCGGAGGAATGGTCAGGAGACACAACTGAACAAGTTCTACACAAAGAAGGTACACATCTTGTTTAATGCACACAATACTGAGGGAAAACTGCATAGAACAAACAAATCCTTGGTGTGTCATATGCCATGTTTAATCAAAAAAGAGCATTCTCTGTCCAGGGCTGAGTTACTGAATGGCAATGGCTGTTTAACAGCACCGACATCTGAGGCTGGCATTATGCCTTGTGATTTACCTGAAGACAATAGTGCACAGCAGGATGTAATTAAGAAATTACACGTGCAGCTTTTACCTGTTTTTTTGGTTAGCAGAAGGAAAGCATCAGTATTACTGAATATTGCATTATCTTGCAGACTTGTAAAGGTAGTAAAAATACTGTGGTAGGTTCATGGGGAAAAACCTAAATAAAACTGTGTCTCAGTAATTGAGTTCATTGTGTCATTTTTAACGGCATACCCAAACTGAAAAAATAGATAAAAACTTTCCTCCGTTGACTCATGTTTGATTTTTATTTCATATATACCATATTCTCCACTAATATGAAAGCCCTTTTCTTCTCCTTATGATTAATTGCATATGTAAAGAAATAGCTTAAACCTACTAGGAAAACTCTGGTAACTCCTACACAATGACCAGCAAAGCAAATGTAAAGATTTGTAAATGCAAGTAATATATTGAAAGGTTATTATCTTTGAGATATATAAAGGGATGAGATTTCTGCTTCCAAAAATTCATTTTACATAGACCAGTTCATAATAATGCAGGTGTGAATACAAAGGGAGGGAGGACAAAAGCAGTATGCTACAGAAGTTACTTGGAAAACTAATTGAGTGTATCTTGGGCTTCAGATAGAAAAGTTTCTTAAATTTTACTCTGAGATTATGGCTCAACATTATTTGATACTAGAGACGGGAGTTGAGGGAAGATGAATAGAAGAACATGGCATAAAGAAATTGATAAGAATCACAAAAAGATAGATCATATGAGCATGACCAGTGACGTTGATTGCTGGAAGCCCGAAGAAAGGGAGGGATTGTGATATTGTTCTGAGGCTTTTTCTACACTAGGAAATGGAGTAAACTTGGTTAGATTGCTCATTAGCATGTGCCAACCTGTGAACTCTTCACTAGCTTGTGCTATGAAATAAAACTAAATAGTTTCTCTGTCAACTTGAAAAATAAGTATAAATACTACCTAGGAATTAGCTGTGGTTGAACTTTTATAGGCTTTTTGTCATTATGTGCCACACAGGGCTTATTCTTTTTGTAGAATCTTAGAATCTTGCTGTTGTTTTCCCTTAGTCATTTGGAAAAATAATATTGTATTACTCTTCTTTTATATGTTAGTGTCGGGAATTATACTACTGTGTAAAAGACAGTATGGAGCGAGCAGCAGCAAGACAGCAAAGCATTAAACCAGGTACAAGATTTTGCTTGTTGGGAACATTTGTTCTTTAATCTGCGATCTACAATATATTTTTTTTTTCATTAATACCTTCTTTGAACATAATCTCCTTTTAATTGGAAATCTGAGGGTGGCATTGTACATCCGTAGGAGACTTAGTGTTATCATTAGCTTGCCCCCATATGCCTCACTCGAAATACAGACAAAACCAAAACACCTGTATACGGGAGAGTTACATATGAGGAGGACTAGCTACCAGTAAAATAACTAAGAAAATACTATGAAACTTTAGCTTTGCTTTCTCTTCATGGTTGGCTAGCTACTCCTTATATTCCTGATGGAGACACAGAACTATGTTGTCCGCTTTGTGTTGAGAATGGAAGCCAATAAATATGCTTGTTTGTCTTAGTGAACCTACAGTAATGAATCTGCAGCTTTCTGCAGACTTTCAATGCACAAACCTTTTCTATATTGGAAAGTCTTGTATCGATGCAAGTCAAAAGGTGCAGTTAACCCAATCTCCTTGTATCAGTATAACTTCTCCAGTATAGACATTCTTCTTAGTTGTCTAAGGCCATCATCGTCTGTGTCAGGATAGTATCATTATACTAGTGAAACTTTTCGTGGCAAACACCCCTTTCCTTTTCCTGTTTAGTCAAAAAACTTAGAAAAGTGGATTTGCTGTTTTGGGAGATTGAGTTCTTGTGAAGGAATTTTCCATTTTTCTTAGTCCCTGGAGAGCAGCAGGTGCTATATGTACCTGGGTAACATACATGAAAGTGGCTTATTTTATACCTTCCTAAGATGGTTGTTTCTCCCTTGCTGGAGTCTGTTTGCAGGTTCAGGGTATCATCACTGTGCTTTCATATTTTCAAGTTTCATTTTTGTTGCAACTACTTTTTTTTTTCAAGTGGATTGTAGGACTCTAGGAGCTGTGCTTTGAGGTACAAGCTTATTTTAGGTGTGTCTTAATGCCAAGTCTAAGGGATCTACATTTTATACTCCTAACTGGCATCAGCATGACTAAGAAAATTACTTGTGTTTAAACCTAGCATCCTAAGTGTTTGACCCTAAGCTAGCTGTTGGAGCTTGGCAGAGCCACTGTTTTCTTCCTCCTACCATTAGTCCAATTTAATTTGAGGAGGGGGAGGAAGGACTGGACTTTCACTGAGGACAGAGGAAGGAAAAGTGGTTTTGAAATCTATTTTAAGAATTGGGCAATAATGTAGTATTAAAAATGTGTTTGAAAGCCATTCTCCAGAGTCCAGTGGTTCTGCACAAATGATAATTTTAAAAAATCATTATAAGAAAGCATATTCTAGCTGAATTGAATGATGTAAAAGAAACTAGATGACAGTGCCTAGATTGTCATCTATTAATGTCCTCTGTTAAATTGTCATTGTTGTAACCACGTTGACTTTTTCATTGTTGAAAGCATGAAACAATGCCATACAAAATCAAATGCAAGCCTAGTTTGTACTCGCTTCTGTGTACTTAAGACTATGCTGTCTGTGGTGTTATGTAACTGCAGTGTCTCACCATGCAGAAATTAAACTTGGCATTTAAAACAAGCAAACAAAACCCCAATATGAACTCCAGTAAATACAGACTGAGCTGACATTGATGTCCCTTCATGTAACTAGGATGAAATTTTTTACGGTACTTAAAAGTCTAGTGGTCCTCAGAAGGCTGTCATTAGTGAGTAGACTCTACTGAAATGCTGCCTACTATTCTTGGTAGAGTCCTCTTGTTATGCACATAACATGGAAATTATGTTTTTATTGTTTTATATTTCCCTTCCACATAGCATGACTTGGCTGACTGCTTTCTGCTCTCTCTCTCTCCCTCCACCCCCCTTTGTTTTTCTTTTGATATTTTTTTTTTTTTTTAATTAACAATCACAGGCCCTGAGTTGGGTGGTGAGTTCCCTGTGCAGGATATGAAAACTGGTGAAGGAGGTCTTCTTCAGGTCACACTGGAAGGAATTAACCTGAAATTTATGCACAGTCAGGTATGAGGGAAATCTGTGAGAAGACTGTGAGCATGAAGCTTTTTGCAGCACGCCTGTGTATGTGTTTCCTCTTCCCAGAGTATCAACAAGGACAAGGGATAGTGTGATGGGGGTAAAAAAGCATATGTATATTTACACACAAACACACACAAAAAAATATATATGTGTATGTAAAAATACACTGAAATTAAATATCCTCAGGAAAACTCTTAATCAGCTGAAGAAAAACATTGATACAGGTTTCAGCTTCTTGTTTCTGGCAGTCTGAATTGTCTAAGCACAAAACAAATGGTAGCCAGTATATTAAGGGACAGAAAAGTGATCAATAGCAATCTAAACTACCATAATGCATCACACTGTGAACATATCCTGATGGCATAAGCAGGCAAATTAAAGCAGTCAACTTTAATCCGCATTAAAGATACAGTATTTGAATATTGCAGGTACAGAGGGCAAACTTCTGCATCATATTTATTCTTTCTTGTTTTAAAATTTGAGAAATCGTGTAGAATTTGGTATGAAAATAAAATGGGAAGATGGCTCTTGCTGTAATTCACAAAAATAAGAAAAAATTACTGATATCAGATCTTGTGGGCATAGAGGAAACAACTACAATTGTCATTTCTTCCTTTCTCTGGATGTTGTTTCTGTTGCTTCCTTTGATCCTTGTTTTTTATTTTGCTTTGTGTTTTTTTGTTTTGCATATGATATTAAATGCATGCTATGCTAGACAGTAGAACTGATTGGGGGGGGGAGAGAGAGAGAGAAAGTGTGTGTGTGAGAGAGAGCGTGTGAAAGAAAAGTTACTGTCAGTCCTCTGTGGAGTGTTATTTTCCTTTCCTCCTGACTAGACTTTTCTCCCCACACAAGCTTTGTTCTTCTTTGAGGATACATCAGTGTAGATCCCACTGGAAGTGCATGTGCATCTCAAACACACATGCTCAGAATCTGTAATCCTTTTCCCAAGGTCACAGCAGCACCGTGTGCCTTTTTGAGTTCGTGTGCACCAGTGTAAGGAATGGGGAGTTGTGAACCTCCTTCCGTTTTCTTCCTGTCTATTACCAGGGTAGAAACTGGACTACAGCTGACCTGCTGTGGTATTTCAAACCTGCTCTGTGATGGAACATCTACCTGTATGACTTAGTTGTAGGTTTTAACTTTTTACAGGCTCTGCCAAAATACAGAGAACTGCGAGAGTAATGCAGAGTGAATTTTCATAGTTATTGGGCATGGCAGGTGTCTAAATTAAACACTGCTCTTGAAGCAACAGTTTGATATCATTACAGATGGACGTAATAGAAATTACTTTGTCCTAAGGTAAGGACACACCATAGGGAATGTTGTTTGCTTCTCCTTTTTGTTCTTCTGCCAGAAGTCAAAAAAGATGTTGAGCTCAAACTGCTCATCTCTTGAACAGTCTATGGAGATGACTCTATGTCATAAATGAACACCCAAGCATATAAGCATTTGCAGTAAGAAAAGACACATTAGAAGGTAGCCACATGATCATCATCATGGTTTCTTAAGCGTAACAGGCATCTTCACAAGACAACGAGATTCAAGCACATAGTGAGCACACATGCATCTGTCTAAAAGAAAAACTCCAAATCCTGGAACATACCCTTGTCCTTAAATTCAAAGCCTTTTTTTCCCCCTGAAAGACCGGAATGACATTCTGAAAGAAACCTTAGGGAAACCTAGTACTGATTGTTATTATACGACTGTCAGGACCATTACCGGTTGAATTTTGTACCACAGATACTGAGTCCTGTGCTACCACCAGCCCTCCTAGAGTACGAGCTTTATCATATCCTTCCTTACAGAGAATGGTGTTCTAATTTGCTGTCTGTGGTGAAAATTACTACATCTTTTCTGGAAGACAGTCTGTGCAGGTCAGACCCAGAAAGTATACTAGCTGTCTCCCCGATCTTAAAGATTATTCCTCCTCTTGATCACCTTTCCAATGAGGCTGTAGCCAGATAGGTTTCCATTACTTAAGATTAATATTGAAATAAGTTCTGGAAAATATACTTCATTTATATAGAACATATCCTTGTTTTCCTTGTCAAAACAAAGTGTCTAGACAGATGCCAAAAGTCTGCCATTTGAGGGTCTGTGTAGAATGGACAACTGTAGCAGTTATGTAAAGGACCCCTACTAGTTGCATCATATAAAAAAAAAAAAAATCCCCTCCAATTTCATAATCTGTGCAGCTAAAGAACATTTGTATTCTTATTCTAACACTCATCAACCAGACTGCTTTCTTAATAAAAGGTCTGCTCTTCTAGATGAATTCTCCTTTCCAGTTTTCATATATATTACATTAATTGCTCCCTGAGGCAGTTGATTTCAATATATGTACATGAGCATGATTCAAACCAGGATCCTACAGCCATTTCTCTGTGTTGAAAATGGCTTTTTCTGTTGAGTTGGGATGGGGATACTGACCAACAAGGACCTCATCGGGCACAGCTTTCTCTTCATCTTCCTTTCCTTATTCCGTGTACAGGCCGTGTTCTTGGCCTTCTTTCCAAGTACACTTTTCAGCAATGCAACTTACTAAAAGACGGGATTTCTGTTGCTCTGCTTGGTTGGACATCATAGAAATAATTCATTTAGAATGTAGGAAGAGGGGTTTCCACTTTTTTAAAAAAAAAAGAATAAATAAATGGAGTCTATTTTGTCCTACCTGAGAAGACTGAACATACTGCTTCAGTGTTAGAATGGTGCTTGTTTTCGTGAAACTGTTTTGAAGGCTCTTGGTTTGCAGTGTGTACTTTCTTACCGTGAGTTCCTCAGGAAATGTCTTAGATTCATGGTGGACCAACCTGTAACTGACAAGTGATAGTTGACTTTAGTGGTCACAAATTGTCTCACCGTGCCAGCAGCACACATTAAGTTAAAGAAGAAAAAACGTTCAGGTTTGTCTGTGCCTAGCAGGTCAGAGGAGGCCCTTTGGAATAGGGTGGAAACAAGTGTACCTGTGGCATTGGCAGACTATTCTGAGTTTACATCTACAAATTGTTACAGTATTGGGCCTCAGTAACTCTGTCCCTATTATGAATTAATCTGTGTCAAAAATAGATGGAAGTTTAATAAAATGCAGCAGGCACATGCCCATCTACAGTAGGATCCACACTGAATGCTCTGTCTTGAAGAACCAGTTTCCCTAGGGTAAGTAACTGTTATTTCCTTTGCGCTTGTTTTCTGACTGAGTGAGAGGAGAGAATCTCTGTCCCTTAAACAATATAACAAGAACCTGCCCATCAACTCACATGTCTTCTGAAAATTGATAACTTGCTGTAATTGTGTCAAACTTGATAAATTCTCATCTCGCTCATAACTCCTGTGGAAATGCAGCACTCCTTAACACTCTGATCGTGAGCACCTGGGGCAGTCAAGTCTTTTAAGCAGCTTTACTGTTACCAGATAAAACCACCAGTATTTCACCTGAGCCTTTCTACTGACTTTGTGAATTTTGTACCTTAGACTAGCAGCAAAAACTTTTCACAGAAAATATTCCAGAAAAAGGGGAAACTAAGTACAATAGAGAAAGTGTGACTTGTTTATTCTGTAACTATTCCTCAAAAAAGAAAATGTTTCTGACAACTAAACTGACACAGAACACGGGCAAAACCAGGCAAACAGAAAAAATGGGATTAAGTCTCCTTTCCCCCAAGTGTTTGAATGTAAGCAAGCTTCAGATTTTCTGATTAAGTAAGTGGAAGTTTAGGGGTTTTATATTGAGCAAAAAATACCCTGGGTCTGATTGTTCATTCTCTGCTAATAAAAAAAAAAACAAACCAAAACCACTCCTTTGACTTGAAAATCAACCTGACTTCTCTCAGATGTACGGTGCATTTACTGATCTCTATTAATACTGATAAGCCTGTTTCTTAAAAAAACCCACAATGATTTCTGGTGTTGACCGGCTTTGCCTTTCTTGGGTAGTGTATCATCTGTGATTACATGGGTGTTGCTAGTACTGGATTCAAAAGGGTTACAAGAGATTGCCTTTCCCTTCTTTCCAAGACAATGAAGTTTCTCTAGTAACATTTTCTAAAAAAGGTCCTGAGATCACGGTGGCGTAAGTGTATAGCCACTGAAAGTATCGGTCCAGACTATTGTCATATAGTCTTGCGAAGTTCTCCCTAAGGTATTGGACATAGACTTACTCTGAATGTTAGGGCAATGTCACTCTCAGTGTTTCTCTTGGCTTGAAAAAGCAAGTATATTAGAAATTGGCATATGGAATTGATTCCTTATAGCACTTTGTACAGATTCTTATGTCTGTGTACTGACTCCGACTGCTTTGGAGCTGTGCATATAAGAAGGGACGTTTTTGTATCTTGAAATAGATTGGATATTGAACAAACTCCTTATACTCAGAGAACATGTTTATTTGTGCAATCTTGGCATCTTGGTTCTGGACTGAAAAACCTAGTCATGTAGTTCAACTGTTTTGTCTTTTGGGGTTCACCTATATAAAACATGAGTTTAAAGCAGGTTTGTTTTCTAAGTGACTGCTCAGCTGGCAGAGCAGCCGTATGTGAAGTGAGCAAACAATAGAGAAGGGTCCAAACTTTCCCATCCTGTTTAAAGCAGAAGACTGGTACTGGCTGTTAAAGGAGACAGTTCCAAGAGTAAGTATTCAGATTATAGATCATAAACGGTAGTAAAAACTTAAATGGCAAGGCTCTCGGGAAGAGGAGTGTTAGTCGTCCCTCACTGGATTAAATTTGACTACTGGATAGATTAGGAGGATCAGTGTCAGGGTGGGAAGTGTAGTGCCCCTTACCTGCCCTCTGTGCTGGAGGAGGATGCATGGAGGGGCAGAAACCAACTGGGATGGATCGGAGGCTACAAATCGTGCCAAATTTGGGAGCCAGCTTTTTTCTCGTCCCCCTCTTCTGTTGTATTTGAGGTGTGTTGGTATTCTTTTTGCAATAACTCATTTGAGTGCCTGAAGGGGTAGCAATGTTGGATATGTCAGAGTTACTAACTCCTTCGTTTCTCTTCCATGCTTTCTCCTCCTGCAAGGAGCGGAAGGTACTTCATCTTCTGCTGTCTTCGCTTCTTAGCACTTTTAAGTTATTTGTTGATTTCTAGCATTGTGGCAAGTTTGTCTTTTGAATATTTATTTCACCCTTTATTTACATATTAAACTGTAAATGAACTAGTACTGTATGCTACAACACTTCAGGTTGTATCTGCTGTGATGATGTTTTTGTTTCATTTTGGGTTTTAGTTTACAAAAAACCAAACCTGACTAATTTTATGTTACTTTTCCTCCTGTTTTTGTAGGTTTTCATAGAGCTGAATCACATTAAAAAGTGCAATACTGTGCGAGGAGTCTTTGTCCTGGAGGAATTTGGTAATTACATTATTTTGATATTAGGTCTGTACTCACATGGCAGTAACTCAAATTTCCAGTCTTCAGATTCAGAGTTGCACTGCAGTTTCAAAGATGGGAGAGAAATGTAGATTGCACCTGAGATGTTGCCCAACTGAGAGATGGGGGACTTAACGTAAAAATTTACAGACTAATTTTCATCATATTAAGATTTGTGGCCTAGGTGCTTTTTGTTAATAGAGAAAGAAGAGGTTCTGAGTCTTCTGGAGCAAACAAAACAACAGTTAAACTTGGATGCGTGCAGGAATTTTCTTTGGTATGTTCCTTTTTCATCTGAGAAACCACATTTTTAAGCAGGACTTAGAGTTGATCTTTCTCAACACACTATGCTTTCACTACAAAGAACTACTGTTAATTGCAGTTTCCTCTTTGCTCCATGTGGAATTTAATTTTTGTTGTATGAAGCAGAAGATGTTTTGTCAGGTTGAGCTTTATTTATCCTGTGGTTTTTGTTTCAGAGCATGACTGGTAAAGAGTGGAAAAGTAAAGGTTAAGGAGAACAGAGAATTTGTGCTAGTTTGGTCAGTTATTGCTATTACATAAAATCTGCCTATAGTCTAGTTTGGGGAAAATTCCGAGTTACTATTTGGTGTTAGTGTCAATCACACTATACTTAACTAGTGTCTAAAAAAAAGGAGTGACTTCAGATGCAGCTCTCCAGATGAGTGATCCACATGCTTCTCTTGAAATAGTCCCCAGATCTGTATTGGTTTACTCTTCCACCCATCTGTGAGACATTTGTCTAGGTCTTAAGTGTATGTATGAAACATTTAAAAAGAAGATAGTATTTACAACATTCTTTCCATAGTAGATCAGCATCCATACTTTGGCCATTAATCTGAATCAGCAACTCCCTTTACCAAGACTCTCATTGTTCTTTGGTGCTGTGAATAGAATGTTCTGGCTGAGGGATTCTCTCTTAGACTATGAGAGACAGTTAATATGAGATTGCTGAAATTACTGTCTGTCCATAATAATGTGTTTTCTCCTTTTGGTGATACAAAGTTATCAGGTATTCAAGTGATAAAGCCTTTCTGTGTATTGCAGTTTGCTTGTTGTTTGCCATAAATGAATCTCCCAGAAGTTTGGTATTTGAATTTGTGAACAGTTTTTTTCCCATTTTTTGAAAATGTTGTTCATGGTTCAAATGGTCAGATCAGTGTATTTAAACCCTGAAGAATTTCTAACAGTTTAGATGTTCAGAAGTTGTCTGCACTTTATAGTTGCATATTGCTTTGATACCATGTTTTCACCTTGGTAGGCATGATTCATTTTACGAACAGAAATTGCTTAAGACTGTAAAAGATTATTGATGAGTTTTACAAAGATGAGAGTTCAGAAGCCATAAAATTAACTTAAAGAATGGCTTCAGCTTCTGAAATCTTTACCTTAAAAGAAATTACTTGGATCAGAAATGAATTTTGGATCTTTTTTGAGAGGTTTTAATTCAAAGTATTTCTTTTAATAGTTTGTTTATATTGCACAAGAAGAAAGAGAGTGTTTGACTTAGTTATTTCCAGTCAACTTCTATTGATGACTCTGTAATACTGCATTTAGCCCCTAAATAATGACTGTAATAACTGTAGGAAAAAGAACTTCTTTTTTACAGAAAATGTTGTAATCAAGGGCCTATTGCAAAAGCTAGAATTGTGACATGAAACTTATGAAAGGAGTAATTAAAATTACTTAGTAATTAAAATTAGTAATTAAAATTAAGAAGTAATTAAAACTAAATTGGGAGTTGGACATGACAAGCAAAAACTGAGAAATTAAACTGATTAAATTAAAAATACCCTCCCAAAATAGAGGTCACAGACAAGAACTGATTTCAGAGTACCAGATGAGATTTACAACTTGCCAATAGAGCTAATAAAGAGAAAGAAGAAAGGAAGAAAGATGTTGCAGGGCAGTTAACCTTTCTTCTTGTGCAGAGATGAGAGACTACCTCAGAGCTGCTTTTTCAGTTGTTGGAAAGATGAGAAGATACGCCAATCTGTCCCGTTCAAGAGAAATTAACATGTTAATTTGTCAATAGTAAACTAATAGCATTCACCAAAAATTTGCATGGATTTCTTCAGAATTAAGTTATTTAGCTGTTTGAAACATTGTGAACCTTGCAATCGGATTCATTATAGTAGGACTGTACTGAAGTACTATCTCCTCTTAGAGAGGCAGAGAGTGGTAAGCATGCATACTCCAGTCTGATGGGAAATATTTCGATGCAAGATTTGTTGATTTGATTTTGCCAAGTGTGAGTGGTCCAAGTCTAGTGATATCACAGCAGGAAATTAAAGGTCTGTTTGTGTTAACGCTGGGTTTAGACAGCAGCATGAAAGTTGGAATTGTGATTTCAGAGCAGGATGCAAGTAGAAGTGCAGGAATTGTTGCCCACAAATGGAAGTGGAGATTTAAGTAAGTGAGGAAATGTAAGGCTCTTCCCTCTGGAATTTGAGTTACTGCTGTGTATTTGTGCTTTACTTTCTTGTGGCCCCTTCACCGCCGCTGCTATGAAAACCTTCATTCTCCAGCAGGTAAAGTGATGTCCCCTAAACTCATTCTATGCTAGCGCCATATTTTCATTTACAGGACCAAAGGCTGCAGGATGGTGCTTAATAATTTCATCCCTTCATCCACTTAGTTCAACAGCATCAGGAATAACTTCTAATGTTAGAAGAAAAGTGCTTCTGCTAATCTCTTAATTTGAGGCTTGGGTCTTTTTTCTTTTTTTTTTTTTTTTTTTTCCTTCCTCTTCTTCTTTTTTTGTTTTCTGCAGTAGTAGTGCTTTGACTTCTCTGAGTGTAAACCCAAACCCACTCTTTTTACTCTTCTTAACTCAGTCCTCTGAGGAGAATTTTCCTCATTGGAAGGACTGTGAAGGAGTACTTTACTTAAAGACAAGGCAACTTACTGACTGTGAAGTGGGGAGACAGTACCTTGCCTAGGTGCTCTCCTGTTCCCTCTCTTCCTATTCTCAATTATGATACAGGACTTTACAGCTTCCCTTCTCTCCTTCCCTCGTGGCACAAGGTCCTTACAGCTTTCCCTTCCTGCTTTTTGAAGAGTATATGAACAGTTGTATCTTATCCAGTGGGCAGTGAGACTTACACAGCTGTAAAAGTCCTACCCTATTTGGCTGTGCACCAGCCTCACTCCCACCTTTATCCCCTGGTGACATGGAGTTAATTTGGAACACCTGGTGCCAACGGGTAAGGTAGCTTGGATGTGCACCTCTTTATCCCCCGAACTCTAGTCACTGGTATCACTGGGGCAGTGCAGCCTGGGTGTGCACTTCTCCTGTTTCTCAGTCCTTAGTGTAACTGCCAACTCCCACGAAAAGAGACAATCGAACAATTAAACAAAAATATTGTATTACTTTTTACAATCATATTCTGCGCTTTTCTCTAGATCTTTTTTTTCCAAGAGTGACAATACCATGACATACAAGAATTAGTAGGCACTGGTTTATATTTAGAGTACTTTCTCAAACCCAGTCTGCACTGCCTACTTTTGGCCCCGTAGAGTGTGATCTGTCTCCCTCTCCAGCCTTTAGCTGTGTCATATCATAGTTGAAAAGATGACATCTGCATGGATAGGTTTTGTTGTGGACTTTTCCTAGTTACTCATACTGAACTCATCTGCTTCTGTTTTTTTTCTTGTCACTAGTACTATGTGTAATAAAACATTTACCCTTCCTCTGTGAACCTGGTATGATTTGGTTTTGCATAATTTCTGTATTGCTGCTTCTAAATTTTTTTGTCGTGACACAGAAATTCCATGGCAAATTTCAGCAGTTCTGGCAGGGAAGTATTCAAAGTTGGTTTTGGTATTCCACTGATTTTAACATTTTTAATTTGCCATTTGTATGTTCTTAGTGTGATCTTTGTTCTCTCCCAGTGATTCCCCATGGTATCTGTTCACAATAATATTTGTAGACCAAGTATGGGTCCAAGGCGCAGTTCAGATGCAGTGCGCACTAATGGGATGGTTACAGCTTTCTTTTTTTATGCATTCTACAGTGAGAACAAAAGGCAAATTTTCTTTAGCTATATTATGCCTGTTTCCTTTCTGTTAGTTTGAGGCAGTGCAAGGGAGCAAGATGAAATTTTCTGAATACTAGATTTTTGTGTTTTGTTTTTTCATCAGTGCCCTAATCCTCTTTATATGTAAAGTCTTCTAGAAATCAACAAGCCTGGTATTTGAAGAATACGTGTAACTGAAATCAGTATTTTATTTTAATGCAACTTGTTCAAAAGCAATGAATGTTTTCAGTGAGTGTGTCAAGTAAATACTATCACACACATCCTTGACAGGAGAAAGAATGTTTTGAGAAACTCTTGAAATAGAACTGGGAAACAGTCTTCCAGTTTAGAAAATGTTCTCCCTCAGCTCCTCTTTTTTTTTTTTTTTTTCTGGATTTCACTAACGTAGTTCTTCGAGATCTGTTTTTCAGCAGAGAAGGATCCAAACATCTAAAGGATAAAATCTTTGGGAATAGCATACTGACAAATTCCTATGGAATTGTTGGTTTATGTTCTATCGTAGTAAACATTAGTCATATTTTGTCATTAATTTTGCTGTCTAGCAGGAATAAGTTGTATGAGAAAAGCCAGAGTCTCTAAGAACCATCAACTGTCTACTACAGTTTTCCAAACAGAGGCAGGGAAATATTTTTGCCAACCTGAGTAATTTATTATGACGTTACCAGTATCTTCAAGGACATATGTAATGTAAATGAAGAGAAGGAAGAGTATCTAGAAGTGAGGGATAGTGAGGTGCCCTGTACCTGCACCTGCTGTCTGTGTGCGTCCCTTCCCTTTCCTATGGGAACATTGTGCTATTTCTTTCCCCTTTTCCTCTCGTTTTTTGAACTTTTTGTTTTGTCTCTTGCCCGTCCGGTTTTAGTTCCTGAAACTAAAGAAGTGGTGAGCCACAAGTACAAGACGCCAATGGTGAGTTGACTGTGATACCTTCTGGTAGTTCTTTAGAGGATGTATCTTTACATTTTCATGTGGTGAAAAGAATTACATTGAGATTGCAGGATTTGCCATGCTAATACTGCAGTGAAACATCAGCTGCTCTGTTACGATAGTTTTCCTTAAGGGAAGACAACAAAACTTTGTGATTATTGTTTCTATGAAACTAGAGGAACTCACAGGTATAGTGCAGAAAGCGTGGTCTCTCTTGTTAAGATAGATAAGGATGCAAGGTAGCTGGTTTGGCATGAACTTAACCACAATCAGAGCTAGTGGAACTGTTAAATTTAAAACAGCGCAGAACACAGTCCTTAATCCACAGAACAGATGGAAAGGGAGAGTAGTTCCTGGGCATAAAATGATTGCTAACTAAATTTATGAAAAATTCCCATTTCTTCATGAAAGAGAACAGTATAAGTATTGATTCCTGCCATATAGGTGAGTTACTGCTGTGGTTTAGTTTCAGTTTTCATAACATTTTGGAACACCAGCAGTTGATAATTATACTTAGCACTTTTACACATAATAGTTCAATGATTGGGCTTATATGTGCTTATGAGGAAGAAATAAAGTCAATGGTTATCATCAGAACTGAAATTTCTTCAGTTATTTTATGTCTGAAGTGCAGTGTGTACATTAGGTGGTTGCATGGAAACTCACAGTCCTTCAAGAGGAGAGAGAGAAAAATTGAAGCAGCTAGAAATGGTTTAGAAACAAAATCCTTAGAATATATGTCATTTAAGAAGCAGGTAGCTGTATCTTTTAATAAGAAAAGCCAGTTTAATGAAAATTAATTTTATTTTACAGAAGTCTTTTAGGTTGTACTATAGTAGAACAAAATGCATTATTATGCTTACTATCTTTACAAAGATTTTAAATGTCAGTTTTCAGGACAAGAACTTTTCAGATCTCCAGAACAGCCAGTATTATAACTAGCACATAAACTTAGTTTAAGTCTTACCTTCACTGAATTGTGCTGCCAGTGGCATGCTAAAAGAGGATTTTCTGTTAAATAATAGCACACTTAATCAGTTAAAAGCAATAATTGTAAATCTTGCTAAAGCTATGTGAAAACCTCTGCTTTTAAGGTAGTGACAAAATTGCGTGGTATTCTTCATACAAAACATGCAATGTTGGGATGTTGTTTGTTTGGGTTTTTTTAATTAAAAAAAAAAAATTGTACTATCCATGGATTCACTAGCACTGGTTAAAAATTACAAGGAGTACAGTCCTTGTGCTTTTGGACATTAAAAAAATAGTTGTGAGTAAGGAAGAATCCCACCATCTCATAAGTCAAGGTACAGTAATGGATGTTCAGTTTTAGTCTTTTTAGTTAGCTCTTTCAATCACTACAAGAAAACTTCTTGTAACTTCATACAACAGACCAAAAGCAAGTATGTAGGATGTTTTTTTTCTAAAGCCAGCTGGCCAACTTTCTATTTTAGCATACTGTTTTTAAAAATTATTAGAATCATACTATCAAGCAACTAATGTTTTTATCTCAAAGGCTTTTCTTCTCTATCCACCTCAGTTATAAGGTAGTATGGGACACTTTTCCCTGATTTTGTCTGTAGCCAGAGTAGTTGTCCTATGATGGAAGATATGCAGCAGAATACAAAGTGTGCAGTGGATTTTGTAAAACACTAAATCATCTGAATTTCATTATCTCCTTTTCTAAATTCTTGCAGGCTCATGAGATCTGCTACTCTGTGCTGTGTCTCTTCTCTTATGTGGCTGCCGTTCGTGGAAAAGAGGCAGAAAACAAAAGTAAACCACCTCGACCAGTTTCCAGTTGATCATGATATTGGGAAATACCTATCCTTTGGCACGTTGGCGTGCAGTACTCCTATTTTTACTGCAGTTACTGGAGCTCACTTTACTGTCTTCTATGAGAACTTGATTATTCATGTATGACCCTGCAAATCTTTCCCCATAGAAAAACCTAAGACTTCACTGCTCAGTCTCCGTCTGAATTCATCCTTAATGGAGTTTTTATGAGAGCTGTTAATCAGACAGTTTTGAGCATCAGCATCCAGCTGTGAGTGACCTACCCTGGCCATTCCTTTGGAATTCCTTTTTTTCTTAAGATGCCTAACAGCTTGAGTTCGGTTGTTTTTTTGGTTTCTAGTGGTACTTGTTACAGATTAATCACTTTACAACTGCAGGCTTCTGCTTTCAGATTCTCTGGTATATGCACAGTGGAAGCAGTCTGGTCCTGCATGTCGTTGAAATGTAGTGTTTTTATTGTTTTCCTTCTGTGTTGTTCATTTTTACCCACCAACACGGAGTTCTTGTCACATAGTTCGTCAGACCCTTTTGGTAGAGATGAACAATTTAGCTACCATAGTCTTAAAATATCATGTGACAAATTGAAGTTTGGCTATTAAATTGGTCCATCTGTGGAGATGACTGCTTCTCAAGGGGGAAAAGAAGTGGAGAGAGAAACCTTGAAGGCAGTATATTCTGAAAAACCCTGACACCTCATGGATTGTGTGGATTTTCAAATGGGAGTTTGGGTAATGTTTGTAGATAACGCTGCAGCAGAGTTAACAGATGCATATAAGCACAACCTAAAGCAGTTAATCACAGGGATTAGAAAATTAATAAGGAAATTTAAAACTTGGAAACATTATTGGCAGGAGCGCATGGAAGACAGGTGTCTTTGGGCGTTTGTAACTACGTGCAAGATATTTCTATAGCTATCTGTAGAATGTGTTCAGAAGCCCAAAGGATTATGCTGTCTCCAAATTTTTTAAGCTATTGCTTTTTTCCAATCTGTACCTGTATATCAAGGAATCTTGCAAATACTGTGTTAATGTATAATGCAACTCCCGCAGTTAAAATTATCCATCACATTCCTTATTTTAAGTAGGCCGAATATGAATGTTTTTTGCATCCCGTTTTTGTTCTTCAACTGTACTGCACTTGTCTGGAAGGCTCTTAGGATGCTGGGAGGAGAGACTGTCTAGAGAAAATAATGTTACATGTAAAATACCTGGAAAAACTGCTCTGATGCAAACTGATATATTGTATGTTTTGACATTGAATTCTGAGTAAATGCACCTAGAAATAACCCTGTTTTGGCTTGGTCAGGGTGTCTACTGTTTTGAATGGAATACACTAGTAATGGGTGAGGAAATGATGTAAATATTATAGTACCACATCTATTTATAGAAACTGTACAGCTGTCTGAATGTGAAAATAAAATGTCATTCAACCAGCAACTGGTTTTCATCCTCCCGTGCTTTTTTATTGATGCAACTTATTCTGACATTATACACATATATGAAATAATGAAAATAGACTGTAAATGGAAAATCTACATTTCATTCCACATAAGCAGTTGAAACTTGGGGTTTGTCTTTTTCTTCTATGATAACATCCATGTAATTTGTCTTTTAAAAAAAAGGTGTCTGAAAAACTTAAAGAGGGAAAACAGACACGTCTGAAATACTGATTTTTTTTTTTTGCAACACATGCAAATAGAAGCAAAAAGGATTTTTCATCCTTTCCTAATATAAAGGCAAAACTGAAATTGGCAAACCCTGAAATTAGCTTGTTTTGTATTTATTTTCTTTTTTCTTCTGATACTGTAAATTATTCTTATAGCAGTATCTGAATTTTTAGCAATTGTAAGTATTATTGATACTACTATATTACAAGTACAGTTAAGACTGAAATCACTTTGGTGTACAATAGATGTAATAGATGTTCTGTTTACTGCAATACTGGGTCTCACTTAAGTAGACAATATTCATTTTTGAATTGTAAATATTATGCTAGGTCTATTAACGTATTCAAACCAGTTAACTTGAAATTATAAGGGGAAGATTAGTGTTTAAAATAATTAAATGCACAGCATCACTTAATATATTTAGTTCCCTTTTTTTCCACTGTAGAAGCTGTATTTTTGCAAGTGTATTTTTCTGTGACTTAAAATCATAGATTACATAAAGTGCTGTACGCTCTAGACTGCTGAGAAACTTCAGTCCAGAATAAGACTTTTAAAGGGCCTAATAATAAAAATGGTCTCCTGTCCCTTTTCACAGAATTTTTTTAAAGAACAGGTGTGGCTAAACCATTCTAGCGCTTGATGTTCAATGGCAAGGAAGAACCAGTAACAACCTCAGAGACTGGGCTTCTGCTCGTTAGGTGAGAGCAACCGACTTGGCTTCAAAATTGAAGAAATTTTTGAAATGTACAAAGTCTTTCTTGTACTTGATGACTGTGACTTGGCAGGTGTTCTGTTAACTGTGGAAATGTAGCATATTCATCTGAGACAAAGGCATGCTGTGCAGTGTTTCCACTACAATACACAGTGCTGTTCTCTGGATATGAAATGCAGACCTGGAGGTTGGATTTAAAAATGGTACAAGAGCGTAAGTCTTTTGGAATGCAGTCTTCCGTCCTTCCCACCTTCCCTTCCATCCTTTCCACCTTCACCTTCACTCCTAAGCATTGATAGGTACGTAAACTTTACTTTTGAGGAAAAAAATAATTAGTGTTTTGCATGTGTTTTGTCATTTACCACTTATTTTGCTCTTTGGGTAAGAATTCCTTAGCACCAGTAAGAACTCAGAGGCTTCTAAACCTTCCAGAACCAAATGGAAGACTAACTCAGAATAATTGATAATAATAAATAGTGCAGGAAGATTCTTAGAACAAAATTAATAATCCTTCCATTTTTACCACTAGGAGGAGCCTGTGTCTTAGTTTTCAAGTATTTCAAGATGACAACATTTTTATTTTATCAAGGCACTTCCACAAATGTGGATTCAAGAACTTGCCTTAAAATTTGAGGTATTTGCTTATCCTGAACAAGTTTCTTTTTCTGCTACAATTCCTTGTTTGTTGTAGCTGGATTTCAAAATGACCATTAAGTGTGCTCTGCAAACACTGGGGTTTCTGACTAGTCTTCCTGGCAAGTTTTCAAAGTGGAACCAAGGTTACTAATTTGTCTGTTTTCTGGATCACAGATCTTCATTGTGATGTTCCAGAAAAGTGCCCTTGCTTTATTTGTGAATGCAGCGTCAGTTTCTAATATGAATGGATCTGCATTTTTAAGGTTAAAGGTTTTAACTTAAGTGAGCATCACAACAATGGTACTTATTAAGTAATATTTATTAAAGATATCTCTAGAAAAAAACTTGGAAAATGTCTCTTGAAGGAAAGAATTCATTAAGAAAAGCATTGTAAAAATTTCCTACACCCTAATTGCTACTTTAGATAATCCCTACCCTCCTACTTTGACATTTTCAGGATAGCAGTTAGTAAGATAAAATGTTCATCTGGGCATTCAGAAGCTAGTAAATGTAAATCATGAAGAATTTAGATTCCAACTAAAGTTCTATCTTGGTGATCAAAGTGGATAGGAAAATGTGGCTATGAGTTTTCTTAGGAATATAAACTATAAGCCTTCTTAGGAATGTTTATGCTGCAAAGATACTGAAGATATTTCTAGAATCATACTGCTTTTGCCAGAGGAGGGCTTTTGGTTCCCACTGAGTGTATTGTTAATAAGGAAGCAGTTGCGAAGAATGGGAACAAACCAGTTGCTTGCCCTTGGGTCAGGCGTAGGCTCCTGTTACCACTAAATTCAGAACTAAATAGAAAATAGAAGCTAAGCTTCTCACAAAGAGCAGTATTTACATCCCAGTTCCCCTTGATTGCTAAATGGGTGAAAGTCAGAAGACATTGGCTCTGAGGCGAGATCTTCCTTCTGTGAGAAAAATGGCATCTGCTCAACTCTGACTCCCGTGGTGGTGTTTTGGTGAAAGACAACATCTCCTAGCTCCTAAAGAAGTGGGAATTAGGACCAAGAAGCAGAACCTTTGTGCAAAAGACCTTGTCAGACAAAAGGCAATGCCAAAGAGCCTCTCGCTGTTCCAGAAGCTGCAATTCAGCCCGAGTCATCTGCTTCTCACCAGGGCAAGATGTTTCCAAGCAGCTGAGTGGCATTACTTTGCTTCTGCTAGCAGCAATGGCTTCATGTACAGCCCTACTCTGTAACACTCTTGTAAGATGTTCAGTGTGACCAACAGCTTTGAAGTTCCTACAGCCACCCCCAGTGTGGCTATTTCACTAAACTAGTAGAAATGTGATGATGCTTTAAATAATAGTGGCTATGTGATCCCTCTTTTCAGCACTGTATCTAAAGGTTTAAAAGCCTGAAGTTGGTGACAGATGAGGTTTGAGTGCAGTTGACTACAAACCAGACTCAGAGAGGAGCTCTTTCAGGAAGATTCTCTGCTCAGATAAAAATCAGCTCAATGTTTATACCAAAGCTAGTTAAATTGTAAGTTAATTTTCTGTTTACACGTGCTTGATATAATTGTAAGTTAATATTTGGGTTAGTTGTGTACAATGTTTTGAAACTTCTGCGGCATAGTAGTTCTAGCATTGACTAATTTTGTTTTAAAGCATCCATCCAACAAAGAATCATACATACAACAGTCACGGGCAAACAGTCCCGCTTCTATTTGCAACAGTTACTATAGTGATAAACGTGGTTTAGGAACCTACATAGAAATAGAAATCCCCTTCTCCCAAAATAGCTATACATAAAAAGGAACAAACGGTGGCAGGAAAAACACCAGTAAAACTCTAAACAGTTGCATCCTTCAAGTGTATGAAAACTAGTTCTGTATTTCCATTCCTTCCACTCTTTTTTGCCTTTTCAGTTTCTCTTATAAACTCCAGTGAGTGCCAGTCTATCCACAGTGCCCTGGGTATCAAAGTGCTCTCTCCTTCCCTTTTTACCAGTCTCCCTGCTTGGCTTCCTCACTATTTCCTCACAGTTTCTTGGCCTATGCTCTCTTCAGCCAGTCAGGCTCAGTTCTGCACCTCAATTTCTCATCAGATGTTTCCATCTGTTTCCCTTCGTGTTTTCTAATATGTTGTTCTTGCCTCTCTGACCATCATCATCTTCCAGCCTCTCTGCCCAAACGGTTCAGACCAATGCTCTTCCCCAGTCTCCTGCTCAATCTTCCTCTCTCCTGTTTTTACCAAGCTCCCTGTCATCTTTCATCCCTCAGCCTCATTCCACTCTTCATTCCCTGTGCATTTAAATAAAATTATTTCTGGTGGAGTGCTGAAGAGTGCTATAGAGGGAACAGAAAGTACTTCCAGTCTTATATTTAAGCTGATATTAAAAATAAATAAATTTGTCTAAACCAGACTTTTAACCTAACAACTCATCTAAATTGTCAGTGCTATAGGAAACAAAAAAGTGTAAGAGGAAATACCATGCTTTGTAAATACGTAGTACTGTTAGCCCCCCTATGTCAGTGAAGAAGAACAAGTCCTGTTTCCAGGTAGAAATTTTTGAGGACTTTCCAATGGTCAAAATCTACTGTACTTGGGTTTTTTTAAGGCAACATATACATGAACTGACCTACAAAGCAGAATAAAAGCTTGGATTTTTGAGCCTTTTTTTTCTGGGTTTGATATATGAAAAGCAGCAGTAAATAAGAGAACTGTATTTGAGAGTTATATTAGTAATTAGTCTTTCTGTGATCATACTTTCCTGAAGTGGGTCTGGATAACTGGGGCAATGATTAGCATTATGACAGACGCCAAGCAAACGCAACCTTACTGAAGGTTAAATTACTTTCATCCATATCCTGGGTTCACATATTTGGTCCCACAATTTATACTTCCAAGCAAGTGAAAAACTATGTATGATATTCTTTATGTTTGTTAAATGACCCATGACAATGAATATAAAATCAAGTTCAAATTATTATCTATGGTGAAAAAAAGAAAAAGGGGGCATACTTACAACTTATTTTTTCTATCCTGTATCAATTTCCATGCATTTTCATATCCACTGATATTTTATACATACTGGATTAGTCACTTTTTTGGATTATTTATCTTCTGTAAAGCTATCTTAATACAGAATTATGGCTCAAATGTGTACATAGCTATGACAGTTATCTATGGTTTTAGGGCTGCTTTTTGTCAACATTTCTGTCTGGCATCGAAAGCAGACGCTAGACTGTTTTTTTCCATGTCGGGACCTTATAAATGAAGCTGTTCTTATCTGTTTCTTTTAAACTTTCACCAGTTCAAGCTGTTTTAAGATGTGTCACTTATGCAGACTGCTGTGTGGACCCTGCCCAAAGACAAGTAAAGGATATCTCCCTGACAGCTTTTGTTTCCCTAAAATA